AAAGACGCCGTGCAGCTGGTGCCCGTAGAGCTGGGCTGCCAGGGTGCCGACCCGTGTCAGCTTGCTGGTGACGTTGTACCGTCGAGCGGCACGTGCAAAACCAACTACTTTCCGATGCATCTGTTTGCCCTTCACCACTCTTTTCGACCGTTGTTGACGAGCGTGTCGGGCACCTCCTCCCAAATCCACCCCAAGGTAACCGGCCTGAGATTGGGGGTGAACTTCAAAACCAGCGACCTGAAGTTTCTTGGAGATATACTTCGCATCGGCAATGTTAGAGCACAATATGATGCTCTTTGGTGAAACGGTCAAAGATTCGCGCTGCAGAGCACGGCAGGTATCCAAAAGACCTGATAGTAATATTTGCCGCAACTGTGCTCGAGAAGCATGGACCCGCTGAGACAAATCATCTATCCAAATCCTCGAACCCATACCTGGATGTGCGATAGTAATCTTTGAAAGGATAAAATATGTAAGGCACCTTGCAAACCTGGTTCCTCCTCGTAAACCCTGCACGATGCTTCTCGTTGGGAGTATGGGTTCGGCAAAAGCTCCACATTGACCTACTGCACGCGGCATAAGGCATTGTACAAGCTCTAGTACCAGAACTACTGGTGGAAATCCCAAACGCATTGCTGCTGGCATGAGAAGAAACCACTCCATAGCGTCGTAAAACCCCTGGATGTCCAGAAGTCCATGGCCCGAGGGAATCCCAAGAGTGCCTGAAACCTCTTCCTCGCAGACTCTCATAAAAGCCTCTCGGAAAGCAGCATTTCCTGAAATCGCAGCGCCCCACATGGGCTCGGACTCATTGGCCCAAGTCTTAGTCAAAGGCTCGCGTATGAGACTCCAGATTCTAGCCAACATCGCGAGCAGCCCTATGACCCTGTCCCCTGAGGCTTTTTTCGGAATCATGCGCCCTATGGTTAAACCCAATTGTGCTGGCCAAGTGAGGGTCTCTTCGATCACTCCATACAAGCGGGCTAACTCGTCAAGGGCAACATCGGGCAGTCGCTCGACGTCCGTCGGCGACGAAACATCAACACCCATGCCTGCACGAGGGCGCATCGCATGGGCAGCCTGGCGAATGTCTAAAACCGAGATTGGCTCCAGGGGTTCCTGTTGAGCCTCGACTCGGGCTCTGTCGAAAGCTTCCAGAACCTTGGTTCCCTCCAGAGGTCCAGGGGCCCAGAGATCTCTAAAGACCTTGGCTTTGGCATCAACAATATCCCGCGGGTGAAATACAACTTGCTGGCCGACCGTGACCTCGTCTACGGGCATAGGTTCTTGCCGCATTGCGCGGTGCAAAACGCCTGACGCAGCGGGCTGTACCATCCAGTCACGGAACTCAAAAATCGAAGCTCGCATGGCACGGCACCGACAGCGAGCTGCTGTCTTCCTAGCCGAGTGGACAAAATCTGCAAGCCTACGCTGGTCTTCTGAGGCTCCCTGAGAAAGCAAACTTTTCCAAACCTCCCAAGGCGGACCGGTTCCCTCTCGAAGGCCCCTGTGGGCCAAGTCTGGTGATTCAGCCAACAGGTTACGGCACGCAATTTGCAATTGGGATTGTTGGGCATAGCCGTTTCCACGTGTACGGTGATTGTTAAGTCTCAGCAATACCGTGTGGACTCGTTCCCACCAAGAAGCAACCACATCACGATATGGCACTAACCTGCCTTTATTGGGCACACGCTGTTCGCCAACTTTGAAAGAATACCCTCTGCCACGGGACACCGCGGGTGGGCCGTCCACCCCATGATGCTCGTACACCGTCCTTTCCAACGCCGTCACCCATGAGGCATATAGAGCCGAGACTGGGCCGACGGATGAGGGTTCAAGCCTAGCGGCTACGGACGATGCAAAGGCAAGGGGAGGGGGGCACTGGTATTCAGGGATGAACCCGACCGCAGTCCTGGCTTCGATCCAGGTCTCGGCTGGGATAAAGAAGCTGACCTCGGTGTTCTCCAAAACTTGGGGGGGCGGCTCTTGAAACTCGCTGGGGTGGGTGATCGACGCGTTGGAAACGGACGGTGTACCAGCATCCACTGGAGGAACCAGACCCCATTCAATGCACGGAGCGTACTGAGGCAGCTTGAAAACATGAGCTTCGGGGTTCCAGACAAAAGGCCGAGTGTTGGGCTCCACCCAGCTGGGCGCTGCTTCGGCACTCATTCCACTGTCCACGACGGCGTGTCCAGCGGATGTCGTAACCTCAGCAGCCCCCAGAAAAGAAGAGGGCACTCTGCATTGCGAAGACGAATCGGGCTCCACCTTGGAGTCGCTGCTGGCTGGGAGCTGGACAGTGGGCCCCACGGCCGCACCAGGATCCACCTCAGACGGCCTACCCTTCCCCACGACGGCGTGGGTCAAGGTGTGCGTATCCTTGGCGGTTCCCAGATTAGCACGAGGGCAAAAGCTAGACTCGTCGGCCCAGGGATCCTCCTCTTCGTATCCATCCAAGAGGTGGTCGGAGGGGTCCTCACCGAGCCGATCTAATTCGTCAACATCTGGATCCAAAGCTGGAGCTGCCGCGCTGGTTGGGCCATTGCCGACCGTGTCAGCGTCAGCAGCCTTCCAAAGGTCACCGTAAAGTTCTAGATACCGATCTCGACGCTTCTCGACTGCAATCTGAGTGGAAGCCGCACGCTCAACTTTGGCGCGCTGCGACTTCGATCCAGGTGTGGGTTCACGGACGGGCCTGGACACCTGGGGCAAACGAGCAGGGAGCTCGAGTCGGCGCGTGAGTAGTTGACGGGCAGACGAACGAAGGGTCAGCTGCAAACCACAATGGGTCTTCCATGGTACTGAAAGGGCCGCCTGCACATCTACTAGATACGCGGCAGCTGCGAAACTACGAACTACATAATCGATGTGACTGCCACTTTTTCCAGCGTCGCACGTGTAATCGATGGGGGCCTTTACGACCTCGTCCCCGACTCGCGCCAAAAACCCCGAGGCAGCGAGAGACGTCGAAGATACGTTGAAATCTCCCACCACAATCCAGGGCAGCTGGAGCGCAGACAAAAAAGATCCTAGCTTCGCGAAGCGAGCGATATTATCGTCGGCCAGGCCGACCGAAGTGAAACCGTAGAAGGTTATAATCACGACTGAGTAGCCTGAAAAGTGAGCAAAAACTGCCGTGAATCCGTCTATGGCCTATTCAGTTGGGGGGCGAGTGAGTGCACCTGGTAGTGTCCAGGAGCCAAAATCCACTCACCACCTTCGGTGGCTTTCTCGAATCCTCGTGCAGTCGTGGATTTGCCTGTAGCCCGAGCTGGGTTGGCAACTAACCTGAGACAAGACTGACGGGACTTCTTCGTCCACTCACGCAAGGCAGTGCGAGAGACATGCGTCTCGACTAAGCAAAAAATCTGATGGCTATCATTCTCACGAGCCCTACGGATGAAGTTCCACACCTTCTCCCCCATGGCGGTAACGTTGCCGAACAGAAGCTGCGTGAACTGGTCATCGCTCGTGGTGGGTGGTGCCACATCTAGTCAAGATGAGGCGGGCGTCGGGTCCTCCGACAGTTGCCGCTGGGACTGGAACTTGGCGGCCGAGAGCTTGGCGGCCTCAGCACGAACGCGCTCTGCATGGCCATCAGCTGGGGCAGAGCCTGCTGCCGCACCCTCGGGCGCCTGAGGCGCCGCCGCCGCCTGGCTGCCGCTGCCTCCACTGGCTGCGGGGGCCCCGGCCTTGCGCCGGGGGGTGCGGCGGGGGGTGCGGCCTGGCCCTCGGCCGTGCGCCTCTTCTTCATCAAGCGATCCTTGATGGCCTGACGCATGTCCTGGGCATTCTTCAGCATCTTGGTGACCTCGTCGGCCTTGCCGTCAAGGGTGGTCTTGGCTGATTGTAGTTCACTATGAATATTCCTCAAGGTCTCCTTCTCGGAGTCCTCGCACTCCAACTCGTCAAGGTTGTCAAACAGCGTGTGGTCATACACGAGCTCGAAAGGTTTGCCACTCTTGTCGTCGGCCTTCCCCTCGGGCTTGGGCACAACTCCTTCGGCCGCAGCCAAAGCACGCGTGGCCTGCTGCTTAACAATAGTAGCCTCAGCAAGCTCCTCGGCAATACGACGCTCCTTGAGCTCCGCTGCTTCCAGTTGCCGACGTATGCGTAGAACTGACTGAACTGCTTGAGTGTGGCGGTTGTTAGCGTCCCTCCATGCACTGTCAGCCCTCTGAAGAGAAGGGAGTGCGTCCTGGGGCTGCTGCTGCCGAGCCTCCTCACGCTTGAGCTGGGCGACCTGCTGCATCAGGGCGTCCTTCAGCTTGGGGTCCTGCGCGGCGGCGATCGCCTGCTCCAGGAGGCTGCGGGCTGATGATTCACCAGCCTGTCCACGCGAGCCCTTGCCCGCCTTGGAGCTACGGGGCGTGGACTGATTGCTTCCTGCATCGCTGTCCTTGGCGAAGCTCACGTTCTTGATGATAACCTTCAGCGCGCTGGGGCTCTTGGGCTTCCGGACGTAGAGCTTCACCTTGCGTCCACAGCGGGCGCACTTCCGATCACGCTGCTCGAGTTTATCATTGTATTCAGATTGCCCGCACGAGCGGCATGTCGACCATGGCGCCATGGACGCTGGCCTCCTCGGATCTCGTCACCACTCTATCTCGGGAGAGACGGGCTGATCCTCAGCCCGAGGGAAGCGGTGTGCCCCAAGCACCACGGGGAGGTACCGAGGCTGGGCTCTGAGCGAGAAACTGCCCTGCGCACGGGGGCGAGGGACTTGCACTCGAGCCCAGATTGCTTGAGGGAGGAGGAGGAGGAGGAGGAGGAGGAGGAGGAGGAGGAGGAGGAGGAGGAGAGGGAGGAGGAGGAGGAGGAGGAGGAGGAGAAGGAGGAAGGGCAGCAGGGCGATGAGCAGGAGAGAGGACGACGCCGCCGAAGGCCTCCGAGGGCCGCCAAAGGCCTCCACTGGCCGCCGACCGAAGGCCGCCGACGGCCCCCGGCGCGCGCCTGGGCCCGTCGAGCAGCGAAGGCTCCCGAAAGCGCCCGCCGAGGACATCCTGACGGCGTGCGCTTTCAGCAAGCAGCGCGAGAGATCGGCGCCGGAGGCGGACATTACGGGCATCCCGAACTTGCCCGACCTCTGGCTGGTCGGCTACGGGCTCCCTCGGGATGGCGGAGGGAGGAGGAGGAACAGGAGGAGGAACAGAAGGAGGAAAAGGAGGAGGAACAGGAGGAGGAACAAAAGGAGGAAGAGGAGAAGGAGGAGGAGGAGGAGGAGGAGGAGGAGGAGGAGAAGAAGGAGAAGAAAAGGAGGAGGAGGAGGAGGAGGAGGAGCAGGAGCAGGATCAGCAGCAGCAGCAGGAGGAGGAGGAAGAAGAAGAAGAAGAAGACGAAGAAAGGCGAGGATCGGGGAAAGGTATTTTTGGGAAAGGCCTGGATCGGAGGAGCTTCTGGGTCTCGGGGAGAAGAGGAAAAGGAGGAGGAGAAGGAGAAGGAGAAGGACGAAGGGGGACGAAGTTGCGAGATGGCGAGCCATGACAGCGCTGCCGACATCGGGTTGGTCGGCTACGGGCTCCTTCGGGAAGGCGGGGGACGGAAGAATGGGGCAGAAGGGAGTCGGGAGGAGGAGGAGGAGAAGGAGAAGGAGGAGGAGGAGGAGGAGGAGAAAGAGGGGAAGGAGGAGGAGGAGGAGGAGGAGAAGGAGAAGGAGAGGGAGGGGAAGGAGGAGGAGGAGGAGGAGGAGGAGGAGGAGGAGGAGGAGGAGGAGGAGGAGGAGGAGGAGGGGGAGGAGGGCCATTCAGGCCCTTGCAGAGGGGGGGTCCCCACCACCCGCGGGAGGGGGGCCGGCCCGAGCACCCTGTCCGCCACGCGGCGGACGGCGTGCCGTGCGATTCGTCCATTGCCAAAGATGTCACGACCCACCTGGACATCATCAAAATCGGCTCCAGGTACAGAGGTCCCGAGGGGTGGTTTGGCGGGATGGGGATGTCAGACGTGGTGGGGGCAGGGTCGGGGTCAGGGTGGGTTCCGGGTCAGAAATTGTCGGCTGGGGGGCTCCAGGAACAGAGGTCCTGATAGGGGTTGTCTGGCTCGGTGGGGATTTCAGACGTGGTGGTGGCAGGGTGGGGGTCGGGATCAGGAGAAACCAAGGCATCTTGCGCCTACAACATCAGACACCAGCTGTTGAAGCACAAGGCTACGAGACCTCCCGCCGAGACCATACACGCATAGAAGTACATGGGTGCGAAGGGAAGCGGTCCCAACGAAGTGGGGTACAACGTCCGGCATGGGATGCAGCCTCGACCCGACGAAATCAGTATCATTGCTACGACCGCCCTCGCGAGAGCGTCCAAGCACGAGTTGCGTAACAGGCAGCCCCAGTGCGAAAACGATGTGTATGACAGGTAGCCCAAGTACGAGAATGAGCTACGCAACAGGGTTCCCAAGGACGAGCACCACCACCACGAAGACACCAAGTACACCACCAAGACCGATACCAGGAACGACACGACCGAGCAGGCAGCTCGAAAGGGTTACTAAGTACGTTGTCGTGGAGGTACTGATGGCCACCCACGACGAGTACGGCTCAAGCCGCGTCGCCTACAACGAGTACGACTACGACGATGTTTGTGATAGCAACTTGTACTGGTACGACTCCCAAGACAACTACGGGCCGCAGGGCTACGCCAGGCGCCAGGATTACAGGGACACCCAGAACGTAGAACACTACGACTTGGCAGGCGACGACTCCGACTTGAACATCGGGGACTACGAAAAAAGTGTGCCTTCTGAGCTACTGCAGCCACAATGAGAGCTACCAGGGCCACCAGATGACCTTCGGGGACCACACGTTGAACTACGAAAACCACACGCACAGCTACGAGAGCCACCAGAGCAGATCAGAGCAGCCTCAAGACCTATACGCCGGGCTACGAGAGCCTCCTGCAGAGCCACGAGAGTCACAAGCTGAGCTGCGAGGACCGCGAGCCGAGCTACGAGAAGCTTGGCTACGAGGGCCACCTGGAGAGCTACTTCGGCAACTATCTAAGCTTCGAGGGCAGCGAGAAGAGTGACGACCGCCACCAGCAGAGCTACCAGGGCCACCAGACGCCCGCCGGGGACCACACGCTGAACCACGAGGACTACACGCACAGCTACGAGAGTCACCAAAAGAGCTTCAAGACCAACTTGTCGAGCTACGAGAACCACCAGCAGAACCAAGAGATCCCCAAGCTGTGCTACGAGGACCACAAGCTGAGCTACGAGGGCCACAGGAACAGCTACGGGAGCACCCAGAAGAGCTTCAAGACACACCTGCCGCGTTCCGAGAAACACCAGCTGAGCCACGAGAGCCGCAAGCTTTGCCACGAGGACCACAAGCTGAGCTACGAATCCACAAGAAAGACTACGAGGACTTCCAGCTGAACCACGAGGACCGTATGCTGCTCTACGAGGGCCCCGTTGAGCTACGAGGACCACCAGCTGAGCACCACAGGCACAGCTACGAGAGCTACGAGGGCCACCTACAGAGCCACGAGGGCCACAGCCAGAGCTTCGTGGACTACAGGAAGACTGACCTGAGCCTCCTGCAGAGCGACTAGGGCGACGAGCTGAATTGCAAGGACCAGAAGCATAACTCCGAGACCCACCAGCTGAGCTACGAGGGTCACAGGCAGAGCTACGAGGGCCACAGGCATAGCTGCGCCGGCCGCAAGCAGAATTACGAGAGCCTCCCGCAGAGCTACCAGGGCGACGAGCAGAACTGTGAGGGCCATCTGCTGAGCAAGGACAGCCACCAGCTGAGCTACGAGGACCACCTGTTGAGCTACTGGGAACACGCGCTGAGCTACCGGGGCCACAGGCAGGGCTTCGAGCACCACGGCCAGGGCTCCGAGGATCGCCAACTAAACTACGAGGGCTAACAGCTGAACTGCGAGACTGCCTGCCACCTGGCTGGAACGTCTACCACGTCCAGCAGGGACGACTCTGCTACCACCACGCGACCCTTGAAATGACTACATGGAAGCTGCCGCGCACTCGGTCCGCCGCATTACTGCCCCGCACCTGCCCCAGGAAAGCTGCTTCAAGAAGCCAGCTGAGCAACCGAGCCACCAGCAGAACTACGAGCACCACGAGCTGAGCTACACGGAAACCGAGCAGAGCCTGCTACACCGCCATATGGGCGACCTGGGCATGCAGAGCTACGAGAACCACCCCCTGCTCCTCAAGGATTGCCAGAAGAGCTTCGAGAACCACCAGCCGAACTACCAGCGCCACCAGAACTACCCAGGACAATTGCTGAGCTGCGAGGACCACCAGCTGAACTACGAGGGACGCAACCTGAGCTGCCTCGGCCACCAGCACAACTACGAGGGCCACCAGCGGAACTACGAGGGCGACCAGCTGAGCTTCGAGGACCACCAGCTGAGGACCACAGGCACATCTACGAGACCTTCGTGGACTATAGGAAGACTGACCTGAGCCTCCTGCGGAGCGACTAGGGCGACGAGCTGACTTGCAAGGACCAGAAGCAGAACTCCGAGACCCACCATCTGCGCTACGAGGGTCACAGGCAGAGCTACGAGGGCCACAGGCAGAGCTGCGCCGGCCACGCGAAGAACTACGAGAGCCTCTCGCGGAGCTACCATGGCGACGAGCAGAACTGCAAGGGCCACCTGCTGAGCAAGGACAGCCACCAGCTGAGCTACGAGGACCACCTGCTGAGCGATTGGGATCACGCGCTGAGCTACCAGGGCCACAAGCAGGGCTTCGACCACCACGGGCAGGGCACCCGAGGATCGCCAACTAGATTACGATGGCTGAGAGCTGAACTGCGAGAACCACTGGCACCAGGCTGCCTGCCACCCAGCTGGATGGAACAGCTACCACGACCAGCATGGACGACGCTGCTACCACCACGCGGCCCTTGAAATCACTACGTGGAAGCTGCCGCGCACTCGGCCCGCCGCGTCACCCCCCCGCACCTGCTCCAAGAAAGCTGCTTCAAGAAGCAAGCTGAGCAACCGGGCCACCAGCAGAACTACGATAACCACGAGCTGAGCTACACGGACACCGAGCAGAGCCTGCTACACCACCAGATGGGCGACCCGGGCACGCAGAGCTACAAGAGGCACCCCTTGCTCCTCAAGGATGGCCAGAAGAGCTTCGAGAACCACCAGCCGAGCTACCAGCGCCACCAGAACTACCCAGGACAATTGCTGAGCTGCGAGGACCACCAGCTGAACTAAGAGGGACGCCACCTGAGCTGCCTCGGTCACCACCTCAACTGCGAGGGCCACCAGCGGCCCTACGAGGGCGACCAGCAGAGCTACGAGAGCAAGCAGCGGGACCACCTGAGCTACGAGGGCCACGAGCTGAGCTTCGAGGTCGGCAAGCCGAGCTACGAGTACCACGCGCTGGGCTACGAGGACCACCAGCTGGACTGCGAGGGCCGCCAACAAGGCTACAAAGGCCTCATGCTGAGTCACGCCGGACTCGAGCTGAGCAGCAACGGCCTCCATCAGAGCTACCAGCGCCTCAGCTGAATGTCATGGTCCACGAGCGGAGCCTCTAGAGCCCCCGACGCTGTTACGAGGGCCGCCAGCCGAACTGCGAGGGCAACAATCTGGGCTGCGAGGGCCGCGAGCAGGACTCCGAGAGCCCCGGCTGAGCTACGAGGGCCACGATAGGAGAGCGAAGAGGACGACGAGCAGCACGAGCCCATCTTCATCATGTACGCCGCGCTCTAGGGGCTGGGCTTCCCCAGGGCCATGAACGCCGAGGCACAGGCAATCGCGGAGTCCTTCGCCATCAGGGCCACATCTAAATTCACGAACCCCGCGTACAACAAGCTCCGCGACATGATGGCGCCCAGGGGCATGAGCGGCGACCGCCAATGCGAAGACGGGGACGCGATGGTCCGCGCGCTGGGCCCCCCAGAAGCCATGAAAGTGCTCTAGTCCGCCCGCGACCACTACGAGGCGCACCAGAACGAGGTGCCTATAGGCCAACGACCCACGCCTATCGTGGCCGCAGAACTTCTAGGATGACA